GGTTTCGGTTCGGTTCGGTTCGGTTTTTTAGGGAAAAAACCGGTTCAAACCGGTTTGGCTCGGTTTTCTGGTTTTGGCTCGGTTTTTCTCAGGTTTAGCTCGGTTTGGCTCGGTTTTTCCGGTTTTGGCTTGGTTTTTTTTCCGGTTTTGATTTGGTTTTTTGGTATAAAACCGAAACCGAACCAAATCGGCCGGTTTTTTCAAAATTTTAATCGGTTTTTTTCAGTTCTGCTTTTTCGGTTATTTTTTTCTGGTTTTCTCGGTTTAATCGGTTTTTCGATTTTTTTACTCACTCCTACTAGGAATTATCAATATGATCCTTTCATCTTCAAATATACTTTGAAGTTATCTTTAGGTGTGGACTCAGATGAGAAAATTCTTAAGCAAATTTTTTATGGACAAATCCAATTGAGGATTCTTGGGACCAATTGGTTGAAAATTATAACTAGATTGGGGACCAATTTTGGAAAACAATTAGAGATAGGGGACTAATATTATGTTACCCAAGAACCTCATAAAATTTAGGGATGAAAACGTCATCACTCAACAGATATCAAGAATCCTCCTGTCTAATTGAGATTGAGATGGATTTCAACCCAGTTTGACTAGGATCCAAACCTAGTGTGGATATAACTTCTCTTGCTTTCATTTTTTAGCATACAAATGAGTGTGTGGTTTTGCCCAATTAATACCCAAATGGATTTTATATATTTCCTAAATATTCTAAGAATTTTTGTGACTTAAAGTTTTCAAATTTTTATTTCCTTAGTATTATGAAAAAACGTATTTTTTAAAAATTAATTTTCAAAATTCTTTAAGCTTTTTAAATATTTTTCTTCAATAAGAAGTTTCCATAGCCCATTTTTTTGTTTATTCCTCAAATTTATTTCATGCACTGTTAAAAAATATTTACATAATGTTATGTTGAATAGCACTGTATATCTTATTCTTCCCTATAAATATAGAGACAAGGAAGAAGAAGGATTTTGAATGTTTTTTCCTACTCTCTCTTCCCCCCGCTTGCACAAACCTAACAAAACCAATACTCATATGCCCATGCCAGCATAATGAGAAAGAAAGATGACCCATACCCTAGTCACCATGCCCTACACTTGGACAAGGTATGGTGACCCTCTCCCCGGCCTCCTATAAATACAGGGAGAGATTTATGGGAAACAGGGAGGAAAAGAGAGGAGAAGTAGAAGAGATAGAAAAAAGAGCCACCACAGCGACCATCTTCATTCCACCATCAACACTGTTGCCATAATGTTGCCACTAATAACAACTACACTAAAACAGAGTTAGCAAAAAAGATAGAAAAGGAAAGAATGACCAACAAGAAAAATAGAGACTGGGGCCTCTGCATAGTAAAGAAGAAGAAAATTGCAGCAATCGCCTCCTATCATCGTCCTGCCTCTAGTACCGCTACCTCCGCCTCCACTATAGAATAAAAGGAGAAGAACAAGGTTAAATAGAGATAAAGAGGAGACTGAAAGAAGAACAAAAGAAAATAAAGGACAAGAATAGAAGGAAAATACACAGAGAAGAAGAAAAACTAACCACTAACCAAGCAACTCTTCGGTCAGTACCCACTAGTAGCACCGCCACAAAGCTATCACAGGTCCGCCCCTCTTCCTTCTTCCTCATTCTCCTCTTCATCTTTGTTAGTTTACTTCACTATTCATTGACGGTTTAAAAGAATGTGTGGTCACGCTATATTAAAGTAGTGGCTTTAAACAAAGATAAGTTGACGATGGGTTAAGGTTAAATTTTTATAAGAGATTCTAAAAGTTTTTTTTTTTTTGCAAGCTGCTCTATTATTTATTAGACTGCTAGATCTTTTAAAATTAGGTCTAAAAAGACCTAATTATTTTTTGATAGGTTGGGTTTTTTGGTTAAAAATAAATTAAATATTAAAAAAAATTATAACTGAATTAAACTAGAAATCAATTCAAGCCAACTACTTTTAGTTTGGTGTGGTATTTTTATAACAAAAATTGACAAAACTTAATTTGCTTTTTCTGAGTTTTTTTATGGGATTTTACTGAATTTTTATAGTTTTTTTTCAAACTTTTTTGTTTAGTTTCATGGGTTTTTTTAAAACTTTTTATATATCAAGTTAATTTGAGCCCAAGTTTATTAACAATGCATTCAAGGAGAAAAGTGAGTCCAATAATGTTATCGAAAGCAAAATACTCACTACCAATCAATATATCATCTGCATGCAACAATTATTTATTGAACAATGCTGGAATGGTTTTTTTTTTTTTTTTTGGAATTGACGATCACCCCCCCTGTAGCCATTGATTAACTTTTAGCGTCGAATACATGCATTTATTTTTAAATTAATTTTTTTTAAATTAATTTTTTAAAGTGTTGATAACCAGAACTAGTAGTGTCTAGAGTTAAAATTCTACTTTTCACTATTTAAAAGGCCTTTTGGTTCGGCCACTAGCAAGCACTCGGCCAGCACTAGAGAATTCAAATAACTATCTTTATTAAAAATATTCATTTTTATTTTTATACAATTAAATAAAAAAAATAAAAGCAACCATGTTACTAGGTTAAATATTTACACTTGCATTTATTTTATTTTTTACAACAACAAAAAAACCCAACTGTTTAAGCCTTTAATTAGATTAACCATTCTTTGTGTGATTTATTAATTCAAATATTTTTAATTTGTTTTTTTTAATACAAACATCATCATTTTAATTTTTAATTTTTAATTTTTAATTTTTATGCTATCAAAACACTTGTCCAGAGGTCTGACTTGTCATCCAATGGAGTCGAGAGATTAGTCCAACAATACATACACTTCATTTGACTACTTGGCTTGTGATGCGCATCAATTACAATAAAAAAATAAAAAATAAAAATTGACAACTGATTTGGCAACCATTCACATGATTTCTGTACAAATGTTTTTCAAAAACAATAAGAATGTATTAAAAAATACATTTGAATTTTATTTAATAGAAAATTTAGAATTGATTGTTTCATTACTATATCTGATCTTGTAACTCCTTGCAGACGAACCTAGACACTAAATACACGAGGAAGAAGAATCTCAGACCAATAAGACAAGTACCGATGGCAAGCCCCAAGAAGATTCTAGAACCGCGTATATGCTCATGATGAATGCAATAATCATCATCCCCATGCCAATCATGGTAAGCAACGTGGCAACCCCAAATAATATCCTAGTGGCATCCTCATCTATCACTTTAATCTTCCCTATTTTCAAAGCTTGAATCAGGAAAATCAAAACGTGGATAAAAACAGCAAAAATAGAGAGCACCGTTGACATTGCATCTGATTTCTTCGGTATTTGAAGGACGAAAAAGCGTTAAGAAGCGCAAATCACATTTATTTTCCTTTTTGATATTTTGTCGCATATCTTTTCTTTTGCCCTGCCGGAAAGTTATATCTGTTTTTATCAAGATAATAAGAAAATAAAAAATAAATTCTTTGGCTCATGATCCGTCATTATTAGTGAACTTCGACTCGCCTATGTGTATCCACCTCACTTTTGTCACCCAAATACCTTTCTTTCGGTTCCATGTTATGATGGGCACATTACTGGACACAGCCATGCAGAAGCTGTACTGTATAACAAGCAAATTCTTTCGGTTTGCATGTTATCCTGTCCTCCTTTTTCTTTTTTCATTTCTTTTCCTAGTCTCCCTCTTTTTTCTTTTCCTATTCTCTCTGGAGTTTTATTTTGAAGACCAATTCATTCCTAGTGATCCATAGCTGATGGTAAAAAAAAAAAAAAAAAGCATAAGCCATACCTTCCTTTGGAATTTTCCTTCAACAAGAACTTCCCATTGCTGAAAAAGGTCAGGAAAATTTCTTGAGCAACACCAAAAGAGGCCCCACCATTCACTGGATTTTGTCCAGATTGTCCAGTGATTTTGACAGTGGATGAGAAGATGCTCGGCAGATCCTGTTTCGAAGGAAGAAACTGCGACTTGAATAAATTAATCTCCTCGAGTCTAAGAGATCTTCTCCCTTTTAAGTTCCATATCGAATTAAAACCATCCCATATTCCCATATAAGCAATAGAAGAAGCTTTATCTTGTGAAAGACGAAAAGAGTGGAAAAAGAGAGGAGAAGAGAGAAAAAAAACGATTAGCAAAGGAAAGCAGAAAAATAAGAGAAGAAAACGGAGAGAAAAGAAAGAAAAAACGAGAGGGAGGGAGTTAGTAAAAAACGTAGGTAACAGGGGAGCAGAGGGTTTTCGTTCTTTGATCCATAGAGCCTTTGGTTCTTATACATCCTTTCGTCACTGTGAAAGAAACAAAAGAGAGGAGAAAGGAGAGGCAGGCGACGGGGAAACCAATTATTTCGTCCGTTTCCACATCTCTATTTTCGTCTGTCATTTACCAGCAGCCAAGGAGGTACGTGTGAGCTGTGTCTTTCGGCCTTGGGTTTTATTTTCTGCAAACAGGAGCTGCAGTTTGAAGGCCAATGATACATAACGGATAGAAAAAAAAAAAAAAAAAGCATAAGCCATACCTTCCTTTGGAATTTTCCTTCAACAAGAACTTCCCATTGCTGAAAAAGGTCAGGAAAATTTCTTGAGCAACACCAAAAGAGGCCCCACCATTCACTGGATTTTGTCCAGATTGTCCAGTGATTTTGACAGTGGATGAGAAGATGCTCGGCAGATCCTGTTTCGAAGGAAGAAACTGCGACTTGAATAAATTAATCTCCTCGAGTCTAAGAGATCTTCTCCCTTTTAAGTTCCATATCGAATTAAAACCATCCCATATTCCCATATAAGCAATAGAAGAAGCTTTATCTTGTGAAAGATTAAAAAGTCTTGGGAATTGCTCTGCCAACCTAGAATTACCAGGCCATAGATCATTCCAGAAGCTGGTATCACATTCATTGCCCACTACAACACAAATTTCATTCTTAACAATATTCTGAATTTCCTCATCCTTGGCACAAGCATCGACAATGTTACACTAAGAACTACCCCCTTGAATTAACCATCTTAAGAGGTATATTAAAATATGATTTTTGATTATAAATACTGTAGATTGAAAAGAAAAAATTAATTGTGAGAATTTAATTTTTCATTTTTGAATCAATTACTTCAGCGACACTTTAATTACTAGAATTAAAGTGATATTTTACAGTACAAATATCTTTGTAAATTTTATCAAGTCAATACAAATAATCAAGATAAAAGAAAAAAAAGAGAGAATTATGTTCTTTCAATAATAAAAACTTATATTCTTTTATATATGATTAGAGGAAACAATTACTTTTTTTTAGTAATTCTTCTAATAATTTGGACTAGGCCCATCCTAATAATTTGGACTAGATCCATCCATCAAAGACAAATCAAGCCTAATCCAATAACCAACAAATACTAGAGACTAAAATTTTCCATCGACACTTATATCTTGGTTGCTGTATCTCCATAACCATTTAAAGATCAAAGCTTTAGTTTTGGCTGAAATGTAGCCAGTTCCTAGACCACCCTGGCATTTCGATGTTACCTGCCTACTCTTGAACATTAGAAATATTCATATGAATAACCTAACTTGTCCCCCTCATGTTTTTTATGGATAATAAAAATTTTCAATTTTTTTAATGTTAATTCATTTTGTAAAGCATAATTTCTTAGCAGGGCAAAGGACTTTGCAACACAAAAGTGAAAAGAGAAATAAATGTAATTATGGTAGTATTTTTTTTAATCTTGTTTCTCTCTTTCATAAGCAGATAATATTAATACTTTAATACTCATGTATAGTTAATAAAACACATATACTAAGGCTATGTTTGTTGTAGATATTAAAAAAAAAAAGTTTTAGAAAAAGTGAGAATTATTTTTTGATATTTGGTAGTGTTATGGAAAATAAATTGAAAAATAATTTCCAGTATTTGGTTATGTTATGGAAAATAAACCGAAAAATAACTTATTAATATTTTATTTTTCTCAAGTTTCTTAAAATAATGAGGAACAAATCTTACAAATTAAAAAGTTGAACGAGAATGAAATTGAAAAAAAATATATAATTTTATAAATTATCTCAAATAAAATAAATAATAATCAAAATAATAGAGATCAAATCTAAAAAAAATGAAAGATGAAGAAATTAAAATAATAATAATTAACATTTCATAAATTATTTTAAATAAAATAAGTAACAATCAAAAGAATGAGCACCAAATTTGATAGATAAAAAATTTCAATAAAAAAATAATAGGGAAAAAGCAAACAATAATTATATAAATGATGACCAAAGTTAATATAAAAATTAAATTTTATGAAATGAAATTGAAAAATAAATATTTAAAACAAAAATATATATGACAATCAAAAGTTTAAGGATCAAATTTGATATAATCAGCAAATAATATGACATTTCTAAATTTTTCATAACTTTCGAAAAGTATTTTCCGCCCAAATTTTTCAGGAAAACACTTTCCTAAAAACCAAACTAATTTTTTTTTTTACTGGAAAGTGTTTTTCGTTGACCAACTTTTCTAATAATAAATTGGAAAGTGGTTTCCTGGAAAGTAAATTTCAAGAAACAAACATAGCCTAAACTGAACAACTTTCATAAAACAGTATTCAAAGAATCAAACTAAAAAATTTGATCAAAAATTGTTTTAAAATTCTTTATTTTCTATTTGTAACTAACAATTTATTCCAAATTATGAATATTTAAAAAAATACAAGTGAATTTTAATTTTTTTTAATTATTGAAAAATTATTATTATTATTATTATATGAAAATTCATTATATTTTAAAAATGGTGATACTTACTATGATATTAATTATTAATAACAATCTAATTAGAAAAATTAATTGTTCCATACTAATAGAAATTTATCATTTTTTTTTTACCTTTATGTTATATATATTAATCAAATATTTTACTCTAAATACTGACTTGGTAGGATCTTTTGGAACATTTGTTTGTAGTATATGCTGGATTAATCAATATTTTATTCATTGATTTATTAATCAAATATTTTAATTTGGAATACTTTCAAGAGAAGATTATATAAATTATATAAATATAATTGTTGATAAATTTATAATGTTTAATTTTATTTTTTTTGCTTATCATAAAAAAAAATAGAGATTAAATGCTTTCCATCATGAGAGGGTATTACCTACCTTTTATGATGTTATCTATGCTCTTGAAATTGACAAATGCTCAAATGTGAATAAATCACTTGTCTACCTAATTGTTTTTTAGGTTAATAAAGAGTTTTTTTTAAAAAAAATTGTTAATTCCCTCGGCATTACTTCCTAGCAAGGCAAAGGATTTTGAAACACAAAAGAAAAGGGAAAGGAATACCATGTTGCCACTTTTTTTATTTTTATTTTTAATATTTAGACACTTATATATAGCCCAAGTATCTCGTTACATTAATATTTATCAGTCTTAAAAAATGAATTAAAAACACTCATATATATGCAAGCATATGCATGCATCCATACACATAAACTAAATAAACATTTTACTTGTTAAGTATTAAATTTTATAATTTTTTTTCATGAGGTTATCTTAGTTTTATGATATGAGTTGCAAGTTTGACAGGTTAAATTGAGTTGCTTTTTTAATTTTTTTTATTGATTTTGTTTTTAATTTTATTTTTTAATTTTAAGTTGATTGAAAATTAAGTTTTATAATTTGTTTTAATTTTTTTCATAAGGTTATTATAGTCTCATAACTCATATCATAGATTTGATATGTTAACCTAAGTTAATTAAAATCAATATAATAGTTATTATCTTAATATTAAAAAAAATATTAGCTTGAATTATTTTTAGTTAAATTATGTTTTTACTGATCGTCTTACTTACTTTTGAACCCTCAAAGTCAATCAGGTCATATTAAGTCAACACCTACATAGTTTAAATTTCTTTTCCACTAAAATATATGTAGAACGGAAAGAAAAACTTACTTATAAAAAAATACTTTTTTATTCATGAATCAATTACTTCAGTGCTATTTTAATTACTAGAACTAAAATGATATTCCACAGTACGAAATGTCTTTATAAATCTTGACAAGTGAATACAGAGAGTTAAGATGAGAGAAGAGAAAGAGAGAACTATATTCTTTCAATAATAAAAAGTAAGTATCTCATATGTGTTATGTCCCTTTATATATGATTAAAAAAAGTGATTACTTCATTTAGTAACTTCTCTAGTAATTTGGACCAAGCTCATCCATCATGGACGGATGAGGCATAACCCAATAACCAACAATATACATTAGCAATATCTAAATATTTTTTTTTATGTTCAAGAAAAATTTGACTCAATCTGTAGTGTAGCTAGCGCAAGTCAATAATCTAGTACACACACTAAAGTAAAACAATATTTCACTATACATGTACATACATTAATAAAACACTATTGAGATAATCAAACTAAAAAATTCAATCATAAATTTTTTTAAAATTCTTTATTTTCTATTTGTAACTAACAATTTATTTCAAATAATCAATTTTTTTTAAATACAACTGAATTTTATTTGATAACAAATCAAGAACTGCTATTTTTGTTGTAAATCAAATTCATAAATTTTAGCTTAATATATATATATATATATATATATATATATTGTTTCAAAAAAATTCCAAATTTTCATTATTGTAAAAAAAAATCAGATTTTTGTGAACATTTGTTTGTAGTATATGCTGGATTAATCAATATTTTATTGATCAAATTCATTAATATGGAATACTGTCAAGTTAAGATTATATAAATGCAATTATTGATTAATTTATAATTTTATGTTTTTTTTGTATTTTTTTCTTTGTTTTCTTATCATTAAAAACACTGGAGATGAAAAGTTTACAAAACTTTTTATTGTTAATTCCCTCTTCTAAAACATAACTTGCTAGCAAGGCAAAGGATTTCGGAATAGAAAAGTGAAAGGGAAAGGATGATTATGCTAGCACTTCTTCCTTTTTTAATGTTCTTTCTAATACTTAGACACTCGTTTACATCAAAGTATCTCGCTATATTAATAGTTATTAAACTTAAAAAATGAATAAAAAACATGTATATTTATGAAATTTTATTTGATAGCAAATCTAGATAGATTGTTTTAGCTTGAAACCTTTTTCACAAATTTTAGCTAAAATTTATTTTTTTTGTCTCATTATTGAAAAACATTATTATTATTATTATTATTATAACCCAATTTTTTAATTTAAAAAAATGAATGGACATAAAAAAATATAATTTAAGAATTGGGTTAAGACAACACAAATTGAAAGTTTGAGGATTAATAATGATGGAATTATAAATTTGGTAAAAAATTAGAAGAATTAATAAGTTTGGGGACTTAATTAAACTTTGATTTAAATAATTAATGCAATCAAAGGCTTAATTGAATAAATACCAAAGTTTGAGGTTGATTTGGGGTCATAATTACAAGCAATTAAAGTTTAAGAATCAAAATGAATAGACAATGATATGAAAGAGGGGTTAATTGATTTTTTCAAGGGTAGTTTTGATTGAATTAAAAGTTAAAAGAGTCGATTGAGGAGTGAATTGATTAAATTGGAAATCAAGTACTATTTTGTAAATGGCTTTGAAATTTAAGGGTTCAATTGTAATTTGATCAAGGTGTAACATTAAGGGAAAAAAAAAAGAGTTTTCTTGATTAGAGACCCAATTTTAAATGTCAGAAGTTCAAGGGTGAAATTGAAAATAATCATTCTAAGTAAAACGGTATCGTTTTCAACACTGCTAATCATCTTTTTATCCTCGTGAAGACCGGATCAACAGGAAGCACAACTAATCAAGGACCACGCTGCCAACACCCCCACCCACACGATGAATCTCCAAGTGAACGTGGGTCGCAGAAGTTTTTGTTCCCATCGTGCAGGTTGCCCAAGATCATGATTCCTGGGGACAAGTTGAGTGCATTCTCTGGCCTTATAAAGGCCAGAGAAAGGAACAGAAAAAGGAGGGGCACAGGACAGAGAGAACCAGGGAGAATATAGACACTGGAACAACACAGGGGAAGCACATAAAGATCATCGCGATGTGGGTAAGACAATTATTATTATTATTGAAAATGATGATGATGCTAGGATATTAATTACTAATAACTATTCACTTAGGTAAATTGATTATTCCGTACTAAATAATAATTTTATCTTTTTTTTTTCCTCGACCAATAAGTGACCTATATGTATTATTAAATTGTTTCAAAACAATCCCAAATTGATTTGAACTTTGCAATCAATTTCTTGTTTACCCACCTGTGTTGTTTCTTCTTCCTCTATCCAATTTGCGTCACCATTATTGAGTTCAACTGGCGGTTGCAGTAAATGGTCGTAGGCACACACAGTTTTTAAACGACAAAAAAGGTTCTGAACTACAGTAAAGTACTGCGGTCTCTACAGACCCATTTTTTATACAAATGTGATAAATAAAAATAAAATTTTTAATTAGAATATCCATGTTTAATATGCAGTACGATTGTGATCAATTACATTACGGGATTTCTGAACATATGACATCACAATTGTTTTATTTGATAGGAAATTTAGAATTGATTGTTTCACCCGTATATCTAATCTCATAAATCCTTGTAAATTATCCTAAACACTAAATACACGAGGAAAAAAAAGCTCAAACCAATAAGACAAATGATTTAGCTAATTATCTCACTGTATATACTTGTGATGAATTTAATAATTATTGTCTCCATGCTGATCATGGTAAACAACGTGGCAAACCCAAATAATATGTCAGTGGTATCCTCACTTATATCTTTATTCATAAAAAAGACCATAACTGCATATAAAATAAAAATTGCTTAAGACTTCACTTATTTTTCTTAAACAATATTGATATATGAAAGTATAGGAGATTTGAGATTTTAAAATATCATATAAGATATTCATTTCTTAAAATTTATTGAACTGCTCTTTCTCAACAGTCTTCCCACTGTTGAATTTGCAATTAATATTCTTATTGGAAATTTAAACACACATAAAAAAATAAAAAACATATTTCTTAAATATTTTAAAAGATTTTATTTATAGTTTTATACAAACCGTCATCTACCTTGACAAGTTTTTATTTAATATGACGGTGCGCCGCGTAAACAAATTTCTGTTTGTTTACGCGGCGCATCGTCTTCAAAGTTCAAAGCATGTAAAGGGTTTTCTTCATTGTCAATTGTCTGTGGCCTTGTTTATTGAGCGAACTGGCGTACTGGGTTTTCTTCATCTTTCCATGATACCATGGATCTTGCATTTTTTAATAATTCCTTCTCTCTGTTTTTTTTTATCCTATTGATTGTCTTCACTGGAGTAATCAAAGACTCATGCTTTATTCGAAGCATCCTTTTCCTTTTTGTTTTTCTCATTCGTTTCTTCCAGAACAATGCGCCGGCGGCAGCCAAACGGTCCACTGCCAACATCTTCAAGGGATTCTAGGATCTCCTGCAAAATATTTTGGGTGAAATATCGTAGATAATCCATCATTTTTAGCTAATTATCAAATATCATATATAAACTTCATAACATTTATTTATTTTCACAGCTAGTTTGTTTGCAATGAAATTCTTTTTCTTACTGTATATATGATAGATAATTAACGCGCGCGCATATATGTATGTATTGGGTTTTAATGGATGCGTTAATTATCACAAGAGTTAATTCACAGTGGATTGATAACCTGTATCTCAGCTAAACGTCCGTTATATATGTCCTTGATGCTCAGCTTTTGCTTATTAAGGCCATATATTCCTTCTTCTGTAAACCGAAAAACAAGTAACCAGTTGTCGAGCTTGAGTGCTAAAGCAGCAATTAGATGGAAGGGCGTGTTTCCTTTGTTATCCTTCTTCGTTTTAAGTCTGTCAAGTAATGGAATCCTCAGACATTCCTTGAATACTTCGGTTCTCTTACTGGCCACAGCATAGTGAAGGGCATTCCAACCTCTGTTATCAACTAGCTCACAACAAGCTGGACATCGAGAAACAATCTCTTTCATTGCGTTTACATGTCCTTGAATGGCTGCAATGTGAAGAGCTGTTCTCTTCTTCTCTGTTTCAGCAATGTAGGCCGCGGACGCATCATATTCTAGTAATACTTTCACAACTGAAATATTT